GTGGACCTAGCCAACGACACCCCGAGAATTTGTTTTTTACGGTTTGATTGTGCGTATGCCATGCACGGAATTTACAAACGAGCGACGGGATGATGTAGCCTGCAGTATTAGCGGTAAGCGTGCCAAGTTTTAGGCCGCTCCGATGCCCGGCAGTATTTTATTTCGATTATTCTGTTGGAACTGGATCAGGTTTGTTTCAGAAGCTCATTCTATTTTATTGTCTCTATGGAGGTATATGGGGACTTTACGACATTCGGTTTGAAGGCTTTAACCACTTGTTATAGTTTATTTTTGCATTGTATTGGATTAATGTGGTAGTCCAAGGTTGTTGTAGGTGGTTTTCAAGTTTATGCACCCGGTTTTAATATCATTTAGCGATTTTACGACAATCGTTTACTATCCAATCAAGGTGACAGCCGAGCGTGGCTCCATGTTAAACTCTGGTGTAAAGCCGTGAGCGAGATTCTGCGAGATTTTAGAAGGACTGCTTTCTTCCCAACGCCATCTAGCGGCAGACCCTTAAAGCGGGTATTCCCCATTGCCTAGTATCTGTCGTATTCAATTATATATTTACAGATATTTTTTTCCTATACTAAACAAACAATAGAATTAGAAGTAGCATAGGCAGCCAACAATGTCAACATGTAACACTTTAATTTTAACAGCTTTTATAAAAGCTGAAATAAATTACAATATTATTATTATTAAATATGAACATATGTTATTCTTTACATACAGAAATATATACACTCTTGCCCAAAATGGTTGGTACACGGAAATTTTGGGATGCATATCGCCGTTTCTTTCATTATTATTGATATTACTAAATTAATACTGTTTGTATTGTTAAATATGTGAAGCTGGAGGATTTGTAAAGTCAAGGAGAAACAACCAATGTGAAAAAAGCGTTAATTTATTTAGGTTTTTTTTTCTCATGCCCCCCAAAAGAGTACTTTTTTACAAAACAGTACCAAGTGAAAAATTAAACATAAATTTATACTGTGGTTGACAATTAATATGAAATTAGGGAAAATTGTAAAGAAACATCTTCAGAGTTCATTATTAATCTAAACAGCGGGTATGCCCACCCCGAGCTTGGATAATGGCCGCCAGACGGCGTGGCATACTGTGAACTAGAGTTACAGCTCTTTGGAGAGGAATTCTGATGTTTTTAATCACTACTCGTGCTGAGTCACCAGAAGAGAGCTGTCTCTATTAACGCTAATTTGAAAATAAAAACTCGCATAAATATCTATTCTTTGGCTGACCTATCCAAAGCATTGGCGATTATCTAATTATTAATTTATTAATCAATGAATTTATTAATCTTTATATCATTTTTTTATTTATGTTTTTATTTACTTGAAAGTTGGCACACCTTGGTCACCTCACCTTACATGCTTTTCCGCTCCAGTTGACGTCATAGGAAAGCGGATCTGAACTTTGACATCACACCACAAGGTATATACTAACTGCATACTGTACTTACATAGCACAGAAAACGATGGGCTGTGCGTGCAGCTGTTTGGATGAGCTGGGTGTCCCCACAGATATCCCCCTTCCTACGAATTTAAGTCGGAGTGTCAAAAAAGAACTTTATGAAGATTTAGAAGGATATGACTGGCCGTTCGAGAATCTGGTGTTAGAGGGTGGCGGAGCTAAAGGGAACGCATACCCAGGGGCACTACAGGTACATACATGTATTCTTGGTTTTACGTTTTTAATTTTTTACTTTTCGTAATGAGGATTGGGCTACAATGATGATATATTCCCTGTATATTTAATTTTTCTGTTTGGTCACCGTAAACACTTGTAGAAAGCAGCTATACATGTATTTTTACAAAAAAAGTGTTAATTAAGTAGGTAAAGATTAGGAGAAAAACAGAAAACGAAGGATATATTTCTTGAGTGTACATGTATCAACGTGATCGTAATATAATTTGAAGTTCATTAAATATTCAACCTGTAGCCCTTTCTGAATATATCTAAACCAAAACATATATTAAACCAACTCGATTAAAGGTCGATTAAAGGAAGTCTCAATCCCGAAATAACAATACGGAACTTTCCCAAGCTACAGCTCACTACCAAGTCCTTCACAGCTAGGATACAGGGTATCTGCCTCTTAACATTGGTGATATTAACCGAAAAGAATCTGTTAGAGATAACTGTCATTACTGTTGAAAGGTTATCATGTACGATGTGACCCCATTGAGCTTTCGGTGAAAGCAACCTTTTTGCTTGGAAATTAAAAACCACCAAGTCTTTATTGACAATGTGGCACTCACATCCGTGCTGCATCATGCCGAAAGTCAGTGGATAGAAAACAGGGTCACTAAATTTCTATTCCAACATTACATGTCTGTGGGTTGCGTCTTAATTTGTTAGGCATAAAATTAGAATGCTGTCTATTTTTAGAAAAACGCTGTGCCCATCACACGAAAGGCTTTATTTAAGGCATTCTTCACCTTCCGACAAATAGTATAATTTGAATTCACACAATAATCTATTTGTTAACAACCGCTGTTCGCAAAAACAACTGACATTCACATGAAATATAGGTTTAAGAAGGTGGGATTCATTTTCAGGTGATCTGTATATGTCAGTGTGCTTACATTTTTGTCATTTCCAGTTAAACTGGATAAATGTGCATAACACCATCCTTTTATTTAATGACCCACATTTTTTAAGGTTAGGGAACTTAAATTGATTGCAGCTCAGTTCAAAAGGACATTAACTTCAACTATTTTAAGGTACTGGAAGAGCTAGGTATACTGAAGAAAATCAAGCGTTTTGGGGGTGCGAGTGCTGGAGCGTGCACTGCGGGGATGCTGGCACTTGGTTACACCCCTAGAGACATTGCTGCCTTGTTGGATTTAGACCAAGAATTCCTCGTTCAGGGTACGTTACTGAACAGCCAAAAATTAACTCTTAATGTTGTGCCTTAAATGCGAAATGATTGTAAATGGGACTTCTTTTGAAAGTGGAACCAAAGTTTTATTGAAGCCGTCCTTTTTTCCTACTGATCGTCATTCATCACGTAAATCCCATTTTATTTGAAAACTTTAAAAGCAGCTTCATTTTTAATACTAGTAAAATACGTGGGAGTCTCGACTTTTCAAAAAGGGCTTAAGTGACACTGGACGGTGTTTATTTATTTATTTATTTTTACTTATAACTCCATGTTCTTTTAATCTAAGTTTATCCAGGTATTGTTTCATAGTAAATCCATTTTCTTTTGTTTTCACCATTCAGATGCGCACTGCGGCAAATTAGCCATGCTCCCCAATTTGTACTGTAAGTTTGGCTGGAACCCAGGAAAGCGGTATATAGAGGTGCTGCGGCTGTATGTCAGAGAAGCCACTGGGAAGGCTGACTACACGTTTGGAGATGTAGGCATCAATATTGCATTCTCACCAAGGTTAATTACATGCTGTAAGCAACTAGAATATTACACGTGACGTAAGATGTTTAGGATAAGATGTAATATTGAGCTCCCCTACCCGAATATTTTGAAACCGTTAAGGCCTCGCAAATACCTTTGGATATTTCAGATCTGTATTTCCAAAATGGTTACAAACCAAGGCGGAAATAATTGTTGCATTCTGTAATAATAATAATTGTAACTTATTAAATGTTATAGATATACATGTATGTCGCTGGTGTATGTGCCGAGTACATTCGTGTGTGTAAAAATGCAAAAAGCAAGCAAGCAAGTTATCAGAAATCTTGAAACGCTTTGTTTGATACAATGTTTTGTGATAGTGAAGACCCCTGGGCGGGAATCACTATTGACTAGTGGAGTAGAAATGTACAAAGTAGAAAAGTAGTGTGTGTTCGTGTGCGTTTACGCGCGCGTGCGATGGGGGAGACCAGCGTCTCAGCATGCTTGGAATATTCTACCCAGTGTTACCAAAATATGTACAGCTTGTGTAAATTCTGGCGGTATTACATGTATTTCATAGTTCTTGCTGTTATGTCAGTTATTACTAGTAAATTCTTGACTTTACTACATTTGTAGTACATATATCGGCGATCAGCTTGAACATTGTGAAAAGAAAATTTATTGCCTTACAAACATCTACATCTAGCTTTTATATTTTCGTTCCATTTTTTGCTTTATTCCTCATCGCATCTAGCTGTACAGGGATCGTGGAATAGAACTTTGCGTTGTGGTTACAAATGTTACGAAGATGGGCATAGAATATCTCCACCCTAAGACCACCCCAGATATGCCCATAGCAGAAGCCATGCAGATGTCCTCTAGTATTCCAGGTAAGCGACTTTTTAAGACAGGCAGTGGCCGTATTTCATGTTGTACGTTATATGGAGTCATACTGATATGGATCGATGAAATCACCTGGAAGGATAGCAGTCTAATGTAACTTTCTGTCCAACACATCCGAAAATAAAAATCCTGACAGCGATCTGAATTTATATTGCGCTATTTTAGTCAACTGTTTATTTGCTCTGGTCTAGTTCTCGTAACATCGTCGTAAAGACTGATAGAGAACACCTGTTTTCCCGCGCCACCTGCAGTACACTGTCCTCGTGGCTACATGTTAAATAAGAGATTTGACGGGTTATTGTGTTTCAAAATGCCAGAAAAAGGCCTACAGAGTAAGAACGTGAAACTTTGGACATAACTTTCCACAATTCATTGGCTAGCGACTTTTTCAATTTTCTGTGTGTTTTTTTTTTAATATGTAGAAAAATATTGTTGATCGAAATTAACTTAGCTTCTGTTTAATAAGGTCTTTATGTGCTAATAAGTGTTTCAAGGCTATGTGCTTTTCTTTACCTTTCATACTCCATCACTTATGTTTCAATCCATCCTTCCGCTAGGTTTTTTTCAACCTCCATCTTATAAGAAAGGCGATCACTTGGAATATTATGTGGATGGTGGAATGCTATGTAACTACCCTGTGCATGTGTTTGATGGTAAGTCTTTATAATTAAATCCCTTAATAATTGTGTTAGAGAAGCTCTCCCTTTTTCGCAATCAAAAAAGACGCACACAATCACCTACCAAAGGGAAATATTCAAAATCGTTTAAATTTCACTAAACAAAATGTGAACACGTTTTGAGTGACAAAAGGTGCTTATTATTTCAATTTTGTATTCGGAAGTGATATGTATTTTGGAATTCCTTGATAAGACACGGTGCTGCATTGTTACTGTCGCTCACAACATATTATCTTAAGCACATTGTGAATATCGTTGCGTTAGGCTGGTACTTGTCGATGCGTCCTGAGGATTCATTCTTTCAACGACTCGGAAGTGAGGAACCTCCATTCCATAAATACAATGAAAAAACACTGGGCCTGATTGTCGTAAGTTTGAAAAATCATTTTTGAAAAGCCAATGTATTATTATTATGAATGCCATACAGTTATAATGAAAGAAATGCACTCGTGTATTTTATGACAGGCGCATCTATCTTTCTTTTAACGAGAATAGCGTAAATGTTTCGCTTTCAAACTAAAAATGCATTCTTTATCATATTTCATTGATTTCAATTTTTTTGTTATCTGTTATTCACTTTTATCTTGAGATTATCGTAAATAAAATTGATAAATATTTCCCTATATCCCTATATGTATAATCAAGAGACCATTGCTAAACGACACATAAATATCTCTTTAATATACTATATATATAAGGCTATCTATAATTTCAGTATGCAACGGACGAGCAAGATTTAATGAAAGTATCTGTGCACCAGAGTTGTAAGGATGTGTACTGGAAGCTGCCAGATACCAAACTGGCAGGGTAATTTTTTCCTTTACGTTCATATATAAATGCCCTACTAAAGACTAATTCCAGCTTTATTCCAAAAGTAAAACAATAACATATCTAGATAGTCCTCATAGAAACGGGTATTCGATACATACGTGTAATTTGTACAATGCCGTGTGCATTTATGGATAAAGTTTTGTGAAGATAGGTAAAAAAATAACTATTACTCAGTTTGGACTCGTCTGTTCTAAGCAAATATTTCTATTATTTTATTATCTGTTTCGATAAGAAATAACATTCGTCAATGTTGGTATTTTTATGTTTCAACTACTATATTTTCAGGAAACGCGGCCCCCAGTTTAAAGAATTGCAGGCGGAAATTAAGAAAAAGGCAGCTGTCATACATGCTGCAAAAACATTTTTCCCGATGTTGAAAGCGTGTGATTTGGACAAAGACGGAAATATAGATTTGCACGAGTTCAAATTAGCAATGGATAGGGTGAGTATCTTTCTCTCTCTCTCTCTCTCTCTCTCTTTCCTTTTTTCTTCACTTTCTCTCTCTCTCGTGACTCAGTGTATGCTTATTTTGTAGTTGTCTCAAACAAACCCTGACGTTATCGAGACTTTATTCGGGAAGGATATGGACTGGGAAGAGGCATTCAAGGAAATAGACACGGACAGTAGTCTAGAGGTTAGTAAATGTGATCGGGGCCTTGGCTTCTTTGAATTCGTAATAAGCAGTAGATGTATATTTTGAACATCTCAATACAACACGTAAAACTTATGATATTCCACGAGTACAACTTATCAAATAAAATCAGACTGGAAGTTAAGGTTGACGGTAGTTAATCATTGCATTTTTGCTTCAGTTTACTGCAGCCGAATTTATGTCATTCCTGGAGAGAAAAGGAGTAGTCAGCCCGCTAGAATACATTTCCGATGTCTCCCTCGTTCCCATTAAAACATTAGGAGATTTCACATCAGCCCTCATCAATACATTTACATTGCAAGCATACAGGCAATTTTTAAAGGTAATTATTATTTAATTTATACATCCATACATAATTATACGTACTTTAACCATAGGTTCTACCGCTCATGCACCATGTCACTTAAAATCTTAAAAATATGATTTTATTCATTGTATGTAAATTAACCTGCCAAGACATGCTACAATGTTGATGGGATTCCATACTGTTAAATTCTTAAAAATGAAATTTATTACTAACACGTCTCTTGTATTTGTAGCCACGCGATCCAGAGAGAACTGTAGGCATTTATACAAACTATATTCAAGCATTGGACTTAGATATGGCAAAGCAAGACAAGATATTCCTGAGAAAGGTACACATTTACAGCAGCTAATCTGTTAAAATCTTTTGAACGTTTATGTTGTTTTTTCTACTGGTATAAAGGTACAGTATTTTTATTAGTTCATAACATAAAACGGGTTCTGATGTGTTGATTTGCACAACTAAGCTTGTATTGATGGCATTGTTTAACTGGTTTGCAGCAAGGAGCGATTGGCGTGGCTGAGTTTTTACGCAGTTACTTGGAACGCAAGAACAGACAAGATGAAGTTCTCATACCTGAGAGCGTCCTGCTTCAAGAAACTGCTAGGCATGAGGAAAGATTGGAACAGTTAGAAGCAGAATTTCTTACCTCCGTATAAAAGTAAACGACAACCATTTACTTCATATTCGTTAACACGTCCAGATCTGTGTTCATTTAAGTGTACAAAAGAGAAAATATTCGACACATGTTGCAGTCTATATCACACTTGGTTTTAGGAGACAGTTATAGATACACCCATATCATAAGTGTTAGGACGAGAGGAAAAACAGCTATAAACTCCATGGAGAGAAAATTGGTACAAAAACATGAAGATGCTACATTGGTTATACATACATTTCTTTTAAGCAGTTTTGTCAACAGGCAAACTTAATGCATTTGTTTCGTAAGACTGCAGGAATTTGGCCAGTTGTTATTTATGATACCAGTACAGCATTTTGTGTACATGCATTTGTGCTTGCATGTTTATGTGCGAGAGTGTGTGAGGAGTGCGTTTGTTTGTCTATTGGTCTAATACGGACATTGGCGATTGGCGTTTTATGTTGTGTACATGTAGAGAGAGCTTTGTTAAGTTTGATACATTGCTAAAATTGTTGTTAAACATTTACGTTATCAATACCAAAAATGACAAGGAAGGAATTTATAAATTCCAAGCAAGTTTCAATTATTTATTTTATATGTTTTTTCGACAGTATTGATCACCGGTAGATATAGGATTTATACTACAATCTCTTCTCTCAGTAAACAATTTTTATCTTATCTTCTGCTGGTGCTAGCGATAGTATTTTTTATTTATTATAGTAGGCTACAGTACTTTTGTATTTATTAATTTTGTCACTTTATACAATTAGACTAATAAAGACAAAAACGTTTTTTGTATATTGCAGTTTTCCTTGAAGATTTTATTCTCAAATAGTGACTTGGAATTTAATAAAAAAAAAAACAAAAAAACATTTGCATATGGTGTGCCTCCTGGCGTGCTGAAAAAAATTGGAGAAGGAATCAGTTCCCCAATCCTTATCTCCTTTACCTAGAACAGCCGTTCTCAAACGTTTGGATGTGACATAAAGCTGATTTTGCAGCTGAACATGGAGTATTTGCATTCCTTTCAGTAAAACCACGGATAACTACTATATGTGCCATTTTATGTATCGTGTTGAAAGTACCAGTATTCAATTTTACTTTGATAAGCAGGCCTATATATATGATGGTATTTATCGTACACTCATTCATTTTGTATCTGATACACGTTGTAAGTTGATAACAGAGAGATTGAGAGGCCAACCCAGTACATGTGCGGGTATAAGAAACTGTTGGTCCGTGTAATAGAGTCTATCTTCCATTAGTAAAATACAGGTACTAGTCGGCGTAGGTCGAAGATTTCCTGTACAAATCAAGAGGACAGACTCTGCATCACCCTGGAACTTCAGTACATGACACAATACATGTGTATTTCTGGATGGGAATCTCAACCTCCGTGTTACCAATACAGTAACACTAGTAATAAATGTGTTACAATGACGGCTGGGCTGCATGTCCATGCCCCTAAATATAAAGACTGCTCCCCTTAACATGCATCATCGGCATCAACTATCTCGAGAAACAAATTACACCCACGAATGTCAACAAAAAGTAGCCCTTTCTGTGTCATATCCGTACAAATCTTTTATAAAATAAGATTTAAAAAAATTACTGAAAACCCCGGATGACAGCTTAAAATAACCCCTAGTGCTGGTACATGAGTTATGACATAACGTGGCTGATACGTGTATTAGGATTGGAGTAGTGATTGCAAAGCCGATCAACCTGTGTGAAGGGATGCTTCTGTCACTACATATCATACCGCCGTGACCTTCGTCTTTATCAATTTCATTAGAGGTATATGTGGGTCAATCTTCGGCTGGATTTACGATGGAGGTAGGTGACATTCAGATCTCTCCCACGTTGAAAAGTAAAACACATGCCATAGCGACATGTTGCTTTTGGTAGGTATTTTGACCAAACACGTATAAAATCTGGAAAATGACCATGTGAACCCTAACGGACTGGACACTGTAGCTGATCTCAGAGATGTACTATTGAAGTCCAGTAAGAGAAAATATCATTAATACGTTTAATATGCTATGCATGGAACTGGCAAAATGGTGTAAAAAGGTGTGTGTGTGTGTGTGTGTGTGTGTGTGTGTACGTGTGTGTGTGTGCGTGCGTGTGTGTGTGTGGTAGTGGTGTAGGGAGGGGAATGAGTACTCTTAGTGCTCTACTCGGTCTACTACTGTAGGTGATTAGTTCCATTCTGATTTGATTTGTTTTCCTTTCTCAACTGTCCGGTTCAATGGTATGACGAACCGGTACTTGTAACGAAAAAGTATTTATATATGCTTTATTCATCCTTTTCGCACCAGACTGAGCTGATAAAATATGCAGAGAAAAAATAATAAGAGGTACACACTGCACACATCTTAAAAATGTCCAACTTCCCAACGCAATGAAATAGATCTTTACAGTGAGAGTAATAATTTATGATCGCTTTCTTGGACATATGTCCAAGTCGCTATTAAGTGGAAGGCGCAGTACTTTTATTTTTTCAAAGGGGAGCCTGAGGTATTAAACCACAACTGTTACCACTGCCTCGCTTGTCTTTGTTGATCGTGTGGCTGATATCACTTTATGCGCGATGATATCAGCACGGTGATATCAATTTATTCTATTGAAAATTAGGGGCTTTGGCGATTTCTTTTTGTATGTACCAGTATGATTAATGCATTGCTACCCCCTAGTCCGATATACTTGATAACGACTCGTTGTAGTTCGGCATACTATCGTGTACATTGTATATCGGGTTTGTGGGCAGTGCATTATTTAGAACATATTATTTAAAGGGGTTTATTTCTTTTGGTGTAGCGTACAATGGACAAGTACAAAAAAAGTGCTCTTCATTATCTAGAACTCTGGTGTCGCAATCTTTGCATTTTCTTTTTTTTTCAAATTCTCTGTGAATGTATGATGAAGACACGGCTAGGGAACATATTCCACATATTAGTTCTGCGGAACGTATAAACCAGCTTCATACAATATGAATGTTCCCTCAGAAAACTTGCAGATCTTATATATACTACATTATAAATAATGTAGAAACAGATGCACTCGTGGTGAAACGTATTATACAGGTGGAGAAGACTATATAAACCGTTTTTAATTTTTTTTTCGGGGGGGGGGGGGGGTAGAGTGTGTGAGAGAGAAAGAGAGGTAGATTAATGGAAGTTACATCCCATGATGGAAAAGAAGTAAATTTTCGTTTTAATTCTTTTAGTTTGCGTACAGAAAATAATTAAACAGACAACACGAAATGGTTATGTAACTTGAGACCTATCTTGAAGCATTTGGGGTTAAAGTTATGTACATATTTTTCAAGAATTCTATAAGAACGAGTAAAACTAGTTGAAAAAAGTGTTAGACCAAAATTACCAGATCAGTTCATACAGGACTGATAACAATTTCTGTAAATTTATTGATCACTTATAAAAAAAGGTGCCATTTTTCCTTCTGATTTGAATCTATAATTTTATATTGTTATTATCTCATTTCATTTGTCTCAGAACTAAACTTGAATTGGATAGAAATCGAATTATTTAAGGATAATTATAAATTTGACATGGCATCTCCTTCAAAATAAGGTGATCCCGTGACAAGTTGTTTTAACACGACGGCATATATCTGTTATTCTACTTATTCAGGCTAAGATTCGCCAGTTTTGATCTGTATGTCAGAAAACAAACGGTTTTTGCGTTTAATACCTTCAAATTTATTTCGTGACAATTTTTGGTCTAATGCTTAACTACTCTAAAACGCACTTTTTAAGTCCAAATAATTCGCAATTATACCTTTAATAAAATATAATTGCAACAACGGCGTGATATTAAGCTTGTCATTGACTTGATATTTGGGAGAGGGTTCATTATTTAAAAAAAACAGGACAGAGAGCGATAGGTCACTTTAAAGTGCATTTGAAGTTCATCTTAGAACTGATAACTACACAGTGCTTATCTCTACAAAGCAGAAAATAAGGTGTTTAGTGCGGACAGCCCACTAAGACAATGTGGCACCAGAATGGGCAGAAAACGGCTATTTAGTGCCTCGAAAACTGTTGGGATTTTCAAAGGTTTCTGATAAAGAACAAATTTTCACCTTAAAACTGCAATAAAATAACAAAATAATTTAATGCGTCCTCATTAACCGGTTTAAAATCATTTAAAACTGTGATACGAATGAAGAGCGGAATAGTAGTCCCTAAAAGCTCTCCATCCCATTCGCATTCAGTAACTTGTTATGTAAGAAATGATTGTTGGAATCTGCATAATGTTTAAAAAATATTTTCACTTATAAACGAGGTCATGTCCCTTCTATCTTTCAATCGCAAACCCAAATACCATGAGTTAAAAAGTTAAAAGCCACCCTCTACCAGAGCCGCAGATTTTATTATGTGAACTTTTCTTTGACTCGAGTGCACAGTGCAGAAAAATTCCTAGACATATCTGTGAATATCAAGTAAAAAATCAATATGTGGCACTGGCAAAGGGTAGTTAAAAGGAACCTGTTTGAGGGTTTTGTCCTTTTTTTCGACACCTGTATATCATTTGATTCGATTTCTTAATTTGCATCGAAGGAAAGATCAGTGTTTTTCACATAAGATGTCCTTTGTCGTTGTATAAAAACGAGCTTACAGCGCTTTTTTGAAGATGTACCGGTACTCACCCCTTTCCGTGCGATCCCTATCTGCTGACAGTCTTATGAAGCTGAGCACGCCACAGGCAATCAATATCACCCCTCTGCTCCCCCTTCCTCCACCATTCTTACCGCTAGGTACTGTAGGCGAGGAACATCGGAGACAGAGGGAAACACGCTTGTTGCAATGGTTTGTGTATATATATATATATATATATATATATATATATATATATATATCCGAAAGAGAGTCAGTTACTCTCTGTACAGAAAATATATATTTTAAAGTCAAAAGTGATGATTTCCATTGCACCTCAAAACTCACATGTTTATTCTTTGGTCTTTTAGAGCCCAAGTAGTCGATGTTGGATTCATTCTAAGGTTAAAGTCACATTTTTTGTCATCATTACCACTGTCAGTGTTCTGAGCATACTGAATATTCTTGTACCCTTGTACGTATCTCGGAAAAAAGTGGTTACTAGGGCTGAAGGAACAAATGATGAATCTCCCAACATCAGGTCGTCGTTTGGACAATGGGAAGCGAACAGCTGTTTACAACTGATGAACATGGACCCATTTGACGAGAAAGTGGTGAAGGTCACCAAAAAGTTACCGCCATTAAAATGTCAAAACAAATCCGGGAGGATACGATCATTTGTGGATAACAACGGATTTCTAAAAATTGACCTGAATACTACAAACAGTTCCAACATCCATTGTCTTTACAATTACATCGTGCGAAGTAAGGAGGACAAGGAGGACGTTGACAACACATTCTCTTTTACTGCAGCAAAACCTATACACAGCAATATAGCGATAAAGTTGAAAGAGGATTTTGTGTATATTTCGTGTGAAAGTGAAACTGGAAGGCACGAATACGAGAACTTTCACATGTACCCAGTAAAGAAAATCAGTTTAGGTGAGAAGATTAATAAACATCGCCGGCATGGATCATCCCCTCGGAACAATTCAATTACTTCGATGAATGTTGTGATGATTTTGAACGATGCTGTATCCATGGGCAATGCCATCAGACATCTACCTAAAACATACTCTTACTTAACACGGGCTATGCTAGGGATTCCATTTCATGGATATCACACCGTGGGCGATAATTCCTATCCGAACATCGCGCCTCTTTTAGCGGGGTTACCCAATGGGCAAATGACACAAATACAGAGGAAAAGTAAGTCATTTGATTTTTGTCCTTTCGTTTGGAATGGATTTTCTGCCAATGGTTATGTAACATATTACCTAGAGGACAAGACGTACGCCACTTTTAACTTCAATAAACCAGGCTTTCGCAAGGCGCCTACAGACTACTACACGAGACCTTTCTGGCTGGCGATGGAGACCTCAAAACTTTACAGAGATGTGCCTGAGTCTTCGTTCGGTTGTCTTGGAAACCAAAAGATTCACTGCATGGCATTGGATTATCTTGGACATTTTCTGAAAAAAGTTCGAGACACGCCGCACTTTGCTTTTCACTTCTTAAATGAATTCAGCCACAATACTCCAAACAGAATTCAAGTGACAGACCATGACCACTACACATTTTTGAAAAAGCATCATTTGAAAGGCAATTTCAACAACACTTTATTGATGTTCATGAGTGACCATGGGGCAAGGTACGTCATATTTGTTTAAAATTTTGGAAATTTTATGGCATAAATCGTGTCCATGTTTTTCCTCATAGATGTTTACACGGCATGTACGTGTCCTTGAGTTATTATAGAGACACATTTCATATCAAGCAGAATAAATTAGTGATACAATCTGTACCGGTGCATTTTTGCGATAACACTACTGGAGGTTTTAATCGCTTTCACAAGTTCGCCTCGAACTGTTTGAGCGGAAGTTCATTCTCACGTAAAAGCTATGCTCTTACGTTGTCAGTCTCTCAAAGTGTACCGATACAGACTGTATTGCTAAAGTATATTGATCGATGTGACAATGCCCTGTCGAATAAGCGCGCGCGCGAGAGAGAGAGAGAGCGGGAGAGAGAGAGAGAGATTAAGGTATTCCTGAAAACTAGTTTACCATTTGGTCTTCTGCCCGTTAAACCAAGAAAATCCTTGCGAATACATTGAAAATATGTAAATGGCACTACCTTTAAAAGTCGAAAAGCACATTTAAAAAAAAGATAAATAATATTGACGATTCATTCAATTTTGATGTGAATTTTGGTGTCCTTATTCTCTCATATGTTTCTAAATTTTGAAGCTTTTCACAGGGGGAGGGACATCAGTCGTAAACAACTTGTTTTAATTGTTTTTTTACTTAGTACATATATATGTATTACAGGTACTTCAAACGGCGTGTGTTTTATACGAGCGTCCATATCACTCTAGAGCTTTTTACTTTCCATATTCAACCTCAAACATCCGTTTTATATTTGTATATGAGAAAAGAAAAACCCTCGAGTATGAAATAGATGATTGTATAAAACCAGGTGTTGTATAACACACACACACACACACACAAAGACACAGACACAGACAGAGAGAGAGAGAGGGAGGGAGGTTTAACCCTTAACTTTAAAGCTTTGTTTTTACCCTTACTGTTCCAAATCGCATTATCTTTTCTAAAATGACAAAACTTACTTTTTAAATGACCTGAAATCAAATGGATTTAAATACATATTATAATATTTTTTATACCAGGTTTGGCGAAATAAGGAAAACTCCCTCCGGTCGACAAGAACATCGCTTCCCTATGCTTGTGATGGTTCTTCCTCCTTGGCTCCAAGTCCAATTCCCAGAGATTGTAACAGCAATGCGAAGCAACTCCCAACGACTGGTAACACCATATGATTTGCACGCTACCTTGGTTGATGTCATCGGTAATAATAAGGCCGTTAAAAATTCTAAAACGCCTCCAAGAGGCCTTAGCCTTTTCAAGCCTATTCCTGAATCTCGAACGTGTGCCCAAGCGGGAGTGCCAAAGGACTTATGCCTTTGGTGTCGCGTTCAAAGGCAGATTAGCAAAGAGTCTGTCGAATCTACAACAGCCGTTGACTGGGCCATAGAGTTCATGAATCGCCGTCTATCGGTAGATTCTCAGCTGTGTCAAAATCTTACTCTTTCTGAGATAAAATCCGCTCATATTCTGTCAGACGAGAGCCAAAGTGTTAGAACATTAAGAAGTACGAAGAGAATGCCCAAAAAGACACAGAAAACTGGCCGAGTTAAAATCTCAAAACGAAAGAAAGAAAAGACGCAACGTTTTAGAATTAGAAGAAACAAGCGAGATAATTCTATCCGTTCTTATTACGACATCATAGTTGACTTTGTCACTTTCCCTGGAGAGGGGCTGTACGAGGCTGTGATAAGACTACCGAGCAGGCTGGGTTATAATTCCAGTTATGACGTCACTAGTGTCCTCAGTATTATACGGCTAAGTGTGTACGGTAGTGATTCGAAGTGCTACAAATATCTTAAGGACGAAGGCTCCATGAAGTACTGTTCATGTAAACCAACACCAACTGTAAATCAAAATTCTAGCCAACCCGGTACAAGTTAGCCACATTTTTATTTAATGCATTTTAATTGATATTTGCTTTTATTTATGTGAATATTTTGTATTATATCCTTTTAAATTTTCTTTGAATAAATTTGAATATTGGTATTTTTTTTTCACTATATTTATAAAAGATTTTATAATTCTAATTGTTTTTTCTATGAATAATCAACAATAACTTTTTGCTACACAAAGTATGATTTAATACAAAAGAAGCATACTTTTCGGAATAATCTTTTATGCCCAACAGACGACTCCATAAGTCCACAAGAGACTCCTTTTAAATTGCTCTGAAGCCCAGTGAAAAAATGTTCACATATAAAAAAAAGTTTTGAGAAGCAATGTCAGACCCCAACTTGATAAAATAATTCATCATCAAATATTTGAAAAACCGAAGGTAGAATAAAAAGCCAGATTTCGAAAGAGAGCAGTTTTCAATTATATGGCTTGTAATGGGTTTCATAAATAGTTGCTTCTATTACTATTCGTACGACAAACTTTAAAGCTTATAAGGCACATTTATCAACAAACAAGAATAACCGGGCTTTTCATATACTGTACTTGTATTTGGTTTTTATTGCCAAATCCCGTATACACGGAAAGCCAGATTCTAGTTTTAATGTCAAAATGCCATTTTGTTTAAAGGTGTCAGTGCCGTTTAAAAGATTTATCCTCAAACAACATAATGACTTTAAAGGGGAGGTTACCGCCGGTTTTGAAATTTGATGCAGAGATTCAAAGCAGTGCTAGTTATCCCCATGCCGTTAATTGGCTAAAATTGCATTTAACTGAATATATCGTGTCGAATGATGCTGAGCCACACTAGATCTGAATGTTATTTGCTTGTACACAAAGCTCAACAATCTGAATGAGAAGATCAGACACTTTCCACTTTTGTTTATCATTCAAATATTCACAATTTTCAAACGTGATATCTGCAGGTATTATTTGAGCAAAACCTTCATATTTCAAAATGAAGATTTTTAACAATGATATGATGATAAAGGAAATGATACGACTACGGTCCCTAAAAGCAACTTCCACACGAAACAAAAAATACCCATCGGCAACATATTTGTAATGGGCACAATTGATATAATTAGTTTTATTAAACTTTATCAGCAGATCATATTAAGCTTCATTTTATACTTTAATTGTATAAAGATGATAATAAAAAGTAAATACCGTGGCTGTACATTAAAACTTGACAACGGGCTGTCCGAATTTAAATATTGGTCAAGGGGGTGGATCATTATCTGTTTAAGGCTGTATTACCAGAACTTTTAGATCGATCTATCCCCGCGGGGAGTCTCACTAGATTACTGTCAGATAATCCGGCTTAAATGTCCGTCCCGCCTACTACAAGCTGTAAGGGGGTAATTAACTTTCGTGTCCGCCCGGCTGACAGCTATTTAGCGTGAACCCCCAGGGAGTTAGGTCGATCTAAAGTAGATCGATCTAATCTCTGGAAATGGGGTCTAAGTGTTGGTAAACTAGTCACTTGACCTAAAATCTCGGATCACCCCATATTGCTATCTTGAATTATTTGCTGTGAAGAATCAATCACAGCCACTATTTTATCATCCCATTTAAACACGGTTGGTTGAAGAGATTGCCGGAAATTTCAAAATACTGAAATAAAATGGCAACGGCAAAGGACTCTTCCTAGATATTTTAGAGAAATTTTGAACCCATGAATTTGAATCCATAAATACTAGATATAGACATTCGAAGTTTAAAAAAAGTTTAATTACAGCATTAATCAAGGGGCGTAAACGTGGTTGTTAAAATAATGGACGCCTTTTCCTGGTATCATCAACCATTTCTTAGACACAGTGACCACCATGCTATCGAGTTTTATGTATAAAAAATATTCATGTAAGGAGCACTTTTCTTTTACTTTGAGTAAGCTAAATGAACGTTGAAATGCATTCTGAGCGTGGACGGGTGCAGTGATAGTACAACAGTTTAAACTGTGAGTTCTGTGCGCATTAGCACACTGCCAAAAAAAGGAAAAAAAGCTAAGACAAGAAAAATTCCGAACACTGCCCCGTTTACTTTACCACCATCACCACCAAAAAAATGTGGCTTCGGCCCTACCTGACTTAGTCTGTGAGGGAGATAGGTCTTGTAGGGCAAAGTGACATTTTTGGTGCGATTTGCTATCTTGATTTCATTACTATCTGGAAGACCAGGTCAGTTACGTTTTATTCTAGCTAACCAAGAATTAATTTTAGAATCATTACTTAGATGAGTATTTGACTTACTTTGTCGTTTGCTATTGTATTCCTTATCGTTCAATTTATCTGGTCTGATTTAATATCGTTTAGGAATACATGCACAATATTTAACTCAACATTTCAATATCCAATTCATCGGAAGAAGATATCGCACAGACCGCTATCAAGTACTCGGTATCTTGTACACAGGGGAATCAGCTTAGCAATGATTAACTTTCTTGTCCACAATAACTGGGTGATCCGTGTCGACAATACTTCTATCTCTAAGTGCAAGGACACTCTGTTAAACATTTTAGAAGTTTTAGACGGTTTTACAAGAAGCATGGAATATAACTTACAATGGATCGCCTGGGTGTCACTAATTTCATTCCACGCACTAACAGGTATGTTTACGTCGTTAAAACATAATGTACTACAGAAACAACTTGCACGAGGATTTAACATTAATGTTATCGGTATACGATTAAATCTGGGCCATTTTTCAGTTGTTTGCAGTTTAAGTCGAAGAACGTAACTTGGCTTACCATATTAACATGAATCCGTATATTTTTTCTATTTAATGCTTCTCAGTTTTCGTTGCCCTTTTCCGTAGAACTGGTAGCTTTAATACAATAAGCACAATACAATGCTTTTGTTTATAGTCGTAACCTCACCCATCTGAGGTAATGAAAGATCAAGAAATCAACATTTTCAGATTTCAGGGCTGATGAAGTTTTGATAGAAATAGATAATTTTCAGTCAGAGTGAAAGCTTGCTAAACACAGGCATAACAAGTGATTTTAAATAAAATATTTAATAAATCATCGTGTGTTGGATAACATATTATATAATATCGGTGTTAGTAAGTAAATGCATGAACTCTTTTTTTAATACACAGAGGTAATTACTCTTAGCCCGGGCAGCTGCAATTTCGATGACGTCATGATATGCGGTTATACCATTGATGCCGCTGACAGCAGTTTTGAATGGAAGGCAGTAAAACCTGGAGACAATTTTCAAAGTGAGTCTCATACTGTCAATAATCGACAATAAATACAGGGAAACTAGAAAAGCACTCAGAGAGCGCAGACCTCCGCCAAGGCAGCAAAGTCTCCATCCAATGGCTTCACTCCTAAATTTTCGATATTTTTGATTTTTGATTATTGATCCGGATCACCACCAAAAACTAATCATCTGTTCCTTGGCCCAATTCTGACAGTTCCTGAAAATTTCATCAAAATCGGTCCATAACTTAGTTTTTTTATTTTTGATTATTGATTGATTATTGACCGGGGTCACCACTAAAAACTAATCACTTTATAGTTAACCCATTTCTGACCTACCCTGAAAATTCCATCGAAATTCATCCATAACTTTTTGAGTTATGTTGATGACAAACAAACAAACAAACAGGGGTGGAAACATAACCTCCTTGGCGGAGATAATAAAAAACTGTAGATACATGGTAGACATAGATAGATAATATAACTACACAAAAAAACGGACAAATCTTATTTTAACTCTTTTCAGGTACGCCTCCAAAGACCATACAGAGTCCCTTCTTGTACCTCAACGCTCAATTAGCCAGAGAAGGCCTCTCCACCACCCTCACTTCAGTGGTTATCCCACAGTCTTACGGAATCTGTTCTATTAGCTTTCTGTACTACTTGTACACTTTTTACGAAGATTACTTATCACTAGAAGTAAGGGTACAAGGTCAGAGCGCCCTCTTATGGAAACGGAATAGTAGTCTAATCATAACCGATTGGTTAGATTCCGGAAATATCGACTTAGCAAATATTGCTAGAAAAGGAGATTTCAAGGTAAGACTCATTGCGTGCATCAAAATCAGAAAAAGAGATTTTGCACAGTGTCATAACTTGCAATTGCGTCTAATGATACATTTGTTAGATGTAATGAATACTTTGTTAACCGAAATTTCTTTCTTTAAAGGTCATATTTCGAGCAACCGTTTTGAAGAAGGCATACGGCAAGGCAGCAGCGTCTTTGGATGATGTTGTAATACAGGGTTGCCAAGGTAATCTTTGGCTCTTGTTTACTGGCATGTTGGTGCATGGTCGTCAAACTAACGACATAAAAGTTCTATTCAGTAAATTAAAAAACCCTTTGTAAGGGACGGTGGGAACAAGTCAAATTTCAAGTATTATTCTGGTCAAAAGCAAAACTTGACCGACAGTTACATAAAGGAGTAAAATAGTCATTGTAAACATAAACATCTTTATTTCAGATTCGAAAAGTACAAGTCACGCCGCAACAAGATCAACACATCCTGTAACTTCAGCCGTTAACATCAGCATAACATCAATGTTATATAAAACATCGCCTTCTACCAAACTTACCAGGACACCAATAACAACGGCTAAACCGGCAACTCATTCTTCGTCGTCAGGCTCTAAGAAAACGACCAACTACCCAACTACTACATCATACAGCCAGTCAACATCCAGCAATATACCCACTTCGTCAACTACCATGTCTACGTCTAGACTGTCAACTTCTAATACTTCACCTACCTTATCAATCGCCTCTTCTACCCCTACTCCTTCAGCCATTACAACCACATCCACNATTCTACCCCTACTCCCTCAGTCATAACTGCCACCCCCAATTCTACCCCTACTCCCTCAGTCATAACTACCACCCCTACTTTTTCTATTCATGAATCCACACCTACAACGCAACCTTCAACCAGACTCACCAACCGAAATTTTTCTTCACTAAATTCTTCAACTACCAATGTATCCACTCTATCCAATACTGATGGACCTACAAAAATATCAAAATCGACATCTTCGTCAACATCAGCTACGTTCAACTCTTCTGGCGTTACCCAGACGCTTTGGATTAAGCTGACAACACGAAGAGGGACATCTTTTGTGCAGGATCGCAAGACTTCAACTGATAGTCAAACAATAAATGATCACTATCGATCACCCAAAACATCTAGTTTACCGAAAGCACCAATAACTTTGAGAGTGGCTGCAAGTACTGACCTGTCTGTACCACTGACAAGTAGTTTGCAGCCAGAGACCTTTCCTCCAACACAGAGTGAAGAGGAAAACGAAACTGAACTAAAGCAACAGCGTCAAACAATAGCCGACAGTCAGACAGCCGTTTATATCGGCACCGGGGCTGGTGGAGCAGCTTTACTGATAGGCATATGTGTAGTTCTCGCGGTGTTGCGGTGGAGAAGGAGACAGAGAGAACCACCAACATTGTATCTTGACCTCACCGATTGCGCGACAGGCTTTGACAACAAATGCGACGGAGATGCCTGTGATACGAAAGATGCAAGACCGGAAAATGAATATACCATTGTTTAAACTGGTGTGAATTGTACCCAAACAGTTATATATTTGTAAAATGTAAATATGTATATATATGTTCACCGAATCTGCACTCTAACTCTATCGTGCGTGGCATGTTTGCCTTAAGAACTGCGTCCATGAAACGCACTTAGGTGAACGCAAAATCAAAGAAGTTATGAGTCAAATTATAGGCGAATTGTATTCCATAAAAACAAATTTTGATAGCGGTCCTGATATTTGAAAAAATTTGACCAATTATCTTTTCATTATCAAAGGACTTGAGACGCAGAAGCATATTGTTGTATTTATAAGTTACGTATTTCGATGAAATTCAGTCACAAAAACCCCTTTAATTCTAAACAAAACAATGGGCGTATTTATCTAATTTTTCAGCTTGGTGGACGGAAAACAAAAGTGCCTGGTAAGCAGAATAGCTCACAAACGCTTTCAATATTTTTCTGTCCGACTTTACTATCTCTCTACATCCGAATAGGAGGTATAAAACACGCTTTTATAGGCAAGCTACAATAGCAACATAGGCCTACTCCTATATTTACTTTAAAGCTGGCATCTGTTGAATACTGAGAGGAAGGAAGAAGCCAAATATTAATGCACATTTATAAACGGAGCTTAATTAAAAACTTGTTTTATGATTAAAACCCAAGATAATCGAGGGTGTGACACAAACACATCACGAATCTTCACCGCCTCGAGGCTGCAGTTATATTTACTGAAAGCCACCACTGTTAAATGCTGTGAAAAAAAAAGAAGCTAGATAATAACATACATACGTACCGAGGTCAATTAAAAACCTATTTCATAACTAAAACCCTAAATACATCACGAGTCGTCGACTGCCTCGAGTTATCAATTGTAATTTTTTTAATTATTCAATTTTATGTTATTAATATGCTCTATGTTGAGGCAATCATGCAAGGATCCATTGTGCTCAATGACAACTTTCGTGATGTAGGTAATTAGATATCAAACATCATGCAGATGTATTCTTCTTATTTCCATTCTGTTTGGTGATTTCATTTTATTCAAAGGCATAGAAAATCCTGTGACATTCTGTACAGCTGCGATATTTGATTCGAGCCAAGCAATACTAGTTTTAGATAAGTTAATATTTTCTGCAATTGTTATGTTTTTTTTTTTTTTTTAATGTGGTAAATGACAAAATGTTTTGATCAGTAATTGAACAGACCTTTTATAAAGAAGATCATGGGATCTTTGGATTTTGAATTTGCTTGGTACCCGATAAAACAAAGTTGAAATTCATGGGTGTCCATCAGTTTGTTGTTTGGTAACACGTAATTCCTTGCAACATTTCGGCACCACTTTGTGTCTGTCGGCAATTATTCCTTGTCAGTAATGTCAACATCTCACACACTTAGCCAACTCGAAGGCATTTGTACTTTTTACACACTAATTGCCGTAAATGCCCGTGAACTATGGGACCTCTTGCTGAAAGGATGCACGCTTGAACAGTCTCTCTGAACCCCTTTCAAATGCATTCATATGTGATGTGAATACGACTAAAAACAGTGAGAATGTTAAAACACCTCTAAGGAATAAATTGACAACGGATTTTTCTGGTTTACAGGTACAGTTTATAACTACACGTTTCCGATGAAACTTGCATGCACTATAAATTTTCAACGGAGACTACATGGTAAGCTGGTGAATAAAATGCCAGAGTATTTCCTAATGTAAGTGCTGGAGGACGGATGGAAAATAAAGAAACTCATTGCTGTGAATAAAACTATATTTATTTAAAACCCATGCAAATAGTAGCAAAAACGGATTGTGTAAAAGGTCATATAAAACGTACAAAATTGTCGTTTGATCAATATGGAGTATTCTTCAAAAAACAACTGGAATAAAAACAATTTGTGTATATCACTGCTAATCACAGAAAAAGTATTTTCTATAATGAAAATAAATGCATCTCACAATAAGTTCACTTTCCAAAGACAAAATCTGGACTCTTACAGACTGACTGGTTTTAGCACATAATTACAATCACAAACTGACGCTCAATCTAATAATTATAACACCGAATTTGCATTTTTAGTCTTCACAGACAAACTGTCAGTATCACGATGGAGTTAATGGCAAAATTAATGTGAGATTCAAAAATATAACGCATGTCTTCAAAATGAAGACATGCGACAAGTTAGTGGCCAAGCCTCAGTTGCCAAAGTCCAGAAAATAAGTATTTCCGTCAGGTCGCTTCGAAATGGCAGCGTTGAACGATTCCCAAAGGAACGACAGAAGACACTTTCCGTGATAAAATACTTCCAAACCGTAGACATTCCTTTGGTGTTTGGTCTCTGTACATCTGTCCCACTGTGCTGATTTGACCTGAGCGTGTATCTCGGAATCAAGGCATATCTGAAGATGACGTTTCATTACGTCGATAGTACACAAGATTGGAAGCATATTATTTTCCTGAAATTCCTGTATATCACGCGCTTCATTGTCTCCAGGTTGGCAGTACTTATTTTGAATTGCATTCCTGTAAACGTCACTTACGTGATATGTGAAATTCAACAGAGCATGATGGATGATTTTCAGCTGAAATCGTAAAAAGAAGTAAGTTAGTGACAATGTAACGGGTAAAGGGGCAAAGTGGTTGATACATATGAATATTAAGTGTGCTAACTATGCCATTAACATTGGTTTATATTTCTTTCAAAGAAAAGCAAAAATGTCGGTGCCAGGTTTCAGAATATAGATAACTGCTGTTACAGCAGGTTTTCCTTTTTTTATTTGTTTTGATTCAAATGATCTATGACCTATAATAACATGGAGTTATTCGGAGTAGTGATTTGCAGTATATTCACACCAACAGTCTGTCAGATGATTAAGTACATTAATAGTGGACAAATGTGTGTCGCCTATTTTTTCCATAAAGCAACGTTTGTCCACAGTGTATTTTCATTTTTATAATTCTTACTTAAATGATCCTCCCCTTTCTTTATTTTTCCAAACAAAAGAAGCGTACCGTTTCCCCGTTCAGATGGACGTCAGCGCCATTGATAGTACCGAACGTTTCCCGGGTCCATGATTCACAGTTCAATCTAACATCGTTTTTGGGATTCCGAGTGAGTCGACGGTCAGCTATAATGTTACCCAGATTTCCACGCTACAATTTTAAAAATGATATCATAGCATATAAAATCGTATCACTTCGTGAAATAATATATAATATTATGCAACATCTCTTTATCGAAATTTTCGAAATACATTTTTAAAACAAAAATTCTATAACTCTGCATTCGTTTTTTTTTCTGTTTAAAATATTTAAAAATACAAATTCCTCTTACATAAAAACCGTACAGTTTCTCTGCCCGGGTACGCGCTTTTCCCAAGTCGATAATAAAGTTCTCAAGGTATTTCGGTTTTGGAGTAGATCTGTTGCTTTTGCACGGTGAAACTGAAAAAAATAGATCTTTGCATATCAAATGTAATCAGAAATGCGTCTAACGATAAAATGTGTTTAATATCGTGTGTGTTTACGTTGGCTCGCTCTCGCTCTCTCTCTCTCTCTCTCTCTCTATATATATATATATATATATATACACAGGGGTGGATCCAGGGTCATTTGAAGGGAGGGCACGGATGCGAAGCCGACCCCCCCCCCCC